ATGTTTAATTATTCATTTAAAATAAGTGTTTTCTATGTTAATATATTTAGGACCATTACTCCAGTCTTCAGTGTCACATGATCCTTCAGAAATCATTCTAATATGCTGACATTTTTATCAGTGTTGAAAATAGTTGTGCTGATTAATATGTTTGTAGAAGCTGTAATACATTTTATTACAGGATTTACTGATGAATATAAAGTTGAAAAGAACAGCATTTAGCAAAACAGAACAGCAAAATAGAAATCTTTCGTAACATAAATGTTTTGACTGTCAAATTTGATCGATTTAATGTGTGCTTTCTGAATAAAAGTATTAATAAAACACGTTTGAAGAGCATAGTGTTTTATTCTTATCTATGTATATTTATTTATTTATTTTTAAATATGATGACTAAATGAAATTCTAATTCGTTTACTTTGGAGTTTGTATTCCTCAAAAATAAATAAATAAATAAGGAGAGAAAAACAAACAAACATTAACTAGTGATTTAGATTCTTTCGGAGGTCTTCTCCAGCAGGGTCTGGAGTCTTTCTCAGATAAATAAACGTATTAATAAAAAAACGTTTGAACAGCATAGTGTTTTATTTTTATCTATGCATATTTATTTATTTATTTTTAAATATGACGATTAAATGAAATACTAATTCGTTTACTTTGCAGTTTGTAATCCTCAAAAATAAATAAATAAATAAATAAGGAGAGAAAAACAAACAAACATTAACTAGTGATTTAGATTCTTTCGGAGGTCTTCTCCAAGCGGGGTCTGGAGTCTTTCTCAGATGGTGTTTCCCAGCGAGGGGCTGGAGGAGCTGCGTCTGAAGGTGGTGTCCTCTCTGTCCAGACTGCAGCCGGAGTTTTGCCGCCCATCTTTGGGAGACGTCTGCAGCGTGCAGTGGAAGCAGAAGGCATAGAAGAACGCCACCAAGAGCAGGAAGCAGACGATGCAGAAGATGATGACTATGAGGATGGTGTGAACGTGTGTGTATGTGTCTTCAGAAGAGAACCCAGGGCTGAATGTCGGGGTCACTGCAGACGTCACCGTCCCACCGCCGACATACCCCTCAGAGCTGAGGTGTGCCACACCACTCATGACGGTGAGGAGAATTATGGGTAATCTGGTGTAGAGGTGAAGAGAGTAAAAAAAAAAAAAAGACTCTTATGCTCACCAAAGCTGCGTTTATTCGATCAAAAATACAGTAAAAATTGCAATATTTTGAAATATTACAATTTCTAAATAACTCTTTTCTTTGTGAATATATTTTAAAATGTAATTTATTCCTGTGATCAAAGCTGAATTATCAGCATCATTAGGCTACTACCAGTCGTTAGTGTCGCATGATCCTTCAGAAATCTTTCTAATATGCTGATTTGCTGCTCAAGAAATATTTCTTATTATCATCAATGCTGAAAACAGTTGTGCTGCTTTATATTTTTGCAGAAAGTTCAATAAACAAGAATATATTTGAAACTGATTTTTTTGGTAACAATTTCTACATATATTATTTAATATAATCAGAAGCATGGCAGGTCTATACAATATTTCACAGCATATGACAGTTAGTCAATTTGTTGGAAAAGTCGATTTTGATTAGTATTCAAGGTTGGACGACTGGTACCCAATGTAGCGTCTCAGTCAAAAATGAGTATGTATTGTATTTCAACGAAATATTATGCATGATCTCGTTTTCTGGTCTCCAGATGCTCTCTCTTAACTAAAAGTTTGACAGGAGGCAGAATTAAAGAGACTCACCCAGTCGAGTGAAACTGCTGTCAGTTCTTATCTGTAGAAAAGTGTTCCTGCCCGATCTTTCTGAAGATCAGTCCACTTGTGTTTGCATTACTGAACCTGCTCACGGAATTCTTCCATGCGACAGGACGAAAGAAACGAAGAAATTAAGAAAGCTGGAGAGAGAGAGAGAGGAGGGAGGAGAGTAGTCTCGTTGCCATAGAGACGCTCGCTGAGTGGATGAGAGCTTGAACGTGACATCAGCGACATGCCAACTCAACAGAGATGAGTAGACAGGTAGATAGATTATACATTAACATAAAAATGAGTCTGTTATTGCTATTACGAAACAAAACATTTAAAATAAAAAATTAATTAATGTATTTACTTATTCATCATTTATTATTATTATTATTTGATATCATCGTCAGTCATTCCATCTGCTTCACAGAAAGAATCAGAAATAATGAGTAGTACAATCACCTTCTACATCAATAGTTATAGTAGAGTTGTAGTTCCCACAAATACTTTTAACCTTGCAGTTGATGACTGAGGTTTTTGGAATGTACTTGATTTGAAATGTTTCTTCATTTTCTTTTTCCTGTAATTCATTGTCCTTTAGCCAGCTGATGGAGCCTTCGGGAACGTCATGCGTGCAGTTAACAGTCACGGTCGCACCCTCTTGAACTTTGGTGGAGGAGGTGTATATGGTCACATTAAAATCTGGGAAGGAGAGCAAAAGGTCAAAGGTCATCATACATTTCATCTGTTTACAAATGATATCTAACAGATGAAGCCATTTTCTTCTTGAGGGTTAATCACTATCTCCAGTAGCATTGTTTGATCAGTGTTTCAGGCAATAATGCACAGTACTTGTACCTTTTATCGTGCAATTTGGCTGAACATCTGGGGAAAAGAGAATGGGAACAGATTTAATGCATTCTCAAAAACTGAATTATTTTTGTCATTATATATTTTCTAATTTTTATACTTTCAGACATTTCTGATTAGTATGGAAGCTTGTTTCCACCACAGGATAAAAAAAAGTAATTGCAACTCTTTATCTCACAATTCAGACTTTTTCCTTGCAATTCTGAGTTCTGAGAAGAAAAAAAGCGCGATATAAATGTATTTTTTATTTTTTTATTCCTTGGTGGGGAAAAAAA